CCATAATGGACACATGGTACCCCACTATTATGGACACGTGGCACCCCACACACACCAATAGTGGGGTGCCATGTTTCCATTATGACACCGTTGAAGTACTTGTAGCACTACTCAATATTTATACTCCATTTTGTAACAAAAATCATCAAAACATAAGGCATGTCAGATTCTGATGCATAAATCTACATTGCATCTAAAATTACAACCTCTGAAGTGTAGAATTTGTTCGGTTACATCTCTTGGATAGCATCAAAACTTAAAAGAAGTTTAATATCATAGTTGTTATGATACAATATCAGCATCAAGAGACTTATTACATAAAAAAAGAAACTCTAGAACTATATAGTCATAGCCCACAATAGCATCATATTGCAATTAGTTTTAACACCAAAATTTGTTAAAGACTTCAGCAGTGAAACCTATATAAAAGCAGTGTTCTAAAACGCGGCGTAACGCGCCGCGTTAGCGCGCCTACGCGCGAGGCGTCGAAGAAACGCCTCGCATACCCCATATGCGTGTAAAAACGCGGTCAACGCAAGCTTTGACCACTAAAACACGCACAAAAGCGGGAAAAACGAGCACAAAAGCGCAAATTTTTTAAATTTTATTTAATTTCGTTTTTAAACAATTCTTTGATTCCAACTTCCAGCCCATTTAACAGGCCCAGAAAGCAAGCTTATATTTCCAATATTGGCCCATTTATTTATAGGCAAAATTTCTTCTCCTTCATCTGTAGGATTCCGATGTGGGATTAATGTTACTGTGCAAGCAAGCTGCAGCCTGCAAGCATTACACTAGACTCGAGTCTACGATAATCGTCTCTCCACTCTAAGCCAGAAGAATGGAGAACCTTGAAACCTTCTCGCCTCTCTCTCTCCTCTCTAAGGGCTCTTGTCTTGGTAGAGGTTTTCCCCTTCTTTAGTCCAGGGTTTTCTACGGCAAGCAAAAAATTAATCTTGCTTGATAATCGTCTCTTACCCGCGAGACCTGGGTTCGTGTCCAGGCACCGGAATTCCAGTTCACCTTGCTGGTTTTCGATTCGGTTTTTCTAGTTCCATTTCAAGTTTCAACTGATTCTCGCCAGCCCACACCTCTTCACAATCTCTTCAACTGATTCTCGCTTGATTCAGAGCCTGCTGCTTGAGGTTTATTTTAATTCTTTGATTCATTGTCTTTATAGATTTTCAATCACCAAAAATAAGAAATTAGCGTTTAGGATTGGGGCTTCTATGGTAATCTTTTTTCATCAAGTAAATATTTTTTGGTATAATTTTCTGTAATTAAGTTGGAATGGATCTGAGGGCTGTTGTTTGAATTTGAGATTTTGATTGTTGAGAAAGAAGTTTGCCGTGTTGAATAGTGAACTGTATTGATTTTGTATTTGGATCGTTTTGATTAATTTTTCGTATGGATCATGTGAATGTATGTAAATTTAAGCTTGAGGAGGAAGATTGGAAGTGGATTTTCAGAGAGCTTTATTTGGGAATTGGGAGGGAGAAGGAGTTGCTGTGAAGCTGGAATTTGGTTTGACGGATTTGTCTATGTAATGGATCTTAAGGATGATGGTTTATGCCATCAATAGTGTTTTGAATTCTCAATTTTGTTTGTTTTATTTTGCTGAGTCCTTGAATTTTACCTTGTAAAAGGCTATTAAGCATTAGCACACTGGTTTTTTAGAATAAATAGTGTTAAGCATTATTCTGGTTTGAGATTACTGATTTTCCAGGTAAGGGATTGGGGGGTTTTTTTTTCTTATTTTATGGTAAAAAAATCTTTTTTTTTTTTAATGATATAGTAAAAAAAAAATTTATATAAAAATATATTTAATGTCTTAAAANTAGTAAAAAAAAAATTATATAAAAATATATTTAATGTCTTAAAAATAATTAAAATAATATTAAAAATACGAAACGTATTATGGCGCTTATTCTTCGCATTAATACGCTTAAACTTGTGATTCTTGATTCTCGACCTCGACGCATCGCAACGCATTACGCATTTTAGAACATTGGTAATTATGTAAAGAATCCCTTCTTGAAATTCGTTAATAACATTATTTTATAAATTAATATTGTGAACTGAAATTGATAAGAGTTTTGGAGTATGGGCGATTGACAAAATGATGTGAGGAGACGTGTGGTATGAGAATTTTGATACACAGAGGAAAGCTCTCATTATCTAATCAATCAATTTCAAATTAAAATAATACAAAGTTGTACATTCAACAAAATCAATCAATACTTTTGTGTGTGTGTATATAGTTGTAAGTTGTGAGTTTATCACCGAATGATAATTTATACCCTTGCATACACATACTTGTAAATTGTGATTTTATCAGTGAATGATAATTATACTCTTACAGTTCTAAAAAGTATGATCATTGTATCCCTAATTATTCCATATAAATATTTAACTTTGATTTTCAATAAAATAGACAAGAGTACATTGACTTCTCTAGATTTTTTTATTCTCTCTCTAATTTATAATACGTTATCGACACAATTATTTTAAAATTAAAGTGAATTAATTAAAAGGTAATATTTTTTTTTATAAACATAATCATTTGTGTCACGTGAACCAAAATGTTGTTTATTTTTCTATACTTTTTTGCTTGTATGCAAATTCATAATAATAATTTTTTTATTATACATAATGATTACTTTCCAACATGTACCCTTTATTGTCTTTATTTTTGTGTCGGTATATTTAATTGACTTCAACTCTTCAAGGCATATTTCATGCATGTGCAAATTTTATTTGTACTATGAATTGTTTGTACGTTATATGCTTTTAATCAATAATAAACTATGTATCTGTAAAATTCTTGTAAAATAGGCACGAGATTTGATAAAAGTTATCTTAAATAGTTATTTGTTCCTTAAGAATTTTGACATCAATTGACTATTGAAAGCAAATTATTTTTTGATGGACGAGCATTAAATTGGAATCTATCGTTCTTGTGAAGATTTATTTGATGACTAAGATTTTTTTCCCTAATGCATGTATGGTAATTTGGTAATTAATATTTTTAATATGATTAATTTTTTTAGATATTTTTTAAAAATTTTAAATTGATAATCTATGATGTTGTTACTATTAAAGTAACACAATATTATAATTAATATTCCAAAATAATATTTACTTATAGATTTGTTTAATAAAATATGCTCCTGAAATAGCATAATATTATTTACATATATTTTAATTAGATTTTAATGGCTCACAAAGAGTATAATTAAATGCGATCTAATAGAAATTATATTTTTACTTCTGAAAAGTAATTTTTTATATAATTTATTATAATAATATGTGATTGTTCATGAATAGCATGGAATTATAATTTTCAGTATTTCAGAAGAATATTGACATATTACTGTTAAAGAAGCGATATAAAATTAAAAGTGCTCTCAAATTAGCACACGTCTCGAAAAATATAGTATATGTGTAATTTATGAATTTGTGTTTATCTCTGAAGGAAAACATACGACTTACGTTATGTTATGTGTATATTGATTATTATGTGATTATTTAATGTTTAATCATAATTATATCTTATATTGAATTAGAATTTCATTGACTTTATTGTTTGGCATGATCAGTTGAACCATAATTGAATCAATAATGACGCAAAATTCAAAATTCAAATGGATATTTAACGAAGAATCAGAAGATTCTTCAATCCAAAAAATGCATATATGATGTTTATTTTTTTTTATTGAAAATTTGTCATTGATTGCCACAAGCTAAAATATGGACTTAATTACTTATATTTCTGAAAATAAATTAGGGCGATAAATCGTGCCCCGTCACTTACCACGTTAATCATCTAGATATTATTTGTTTCTAATATATTTGATACTTACTAAATGATTGGATGGTGTTCGCAACCTGAGTTTTGCGAAATTACTGGTCAATTTTAAATTATGAGCATAATTTTCACATTACATAATTAAGATAGTGTCTTATTTATGCCGGCGAGCTCAAATCTCAATCTTTTATTAAGTACTAGTTAGGATATCGATAAATGGTTTAAAACTACTGTTTGTTAAATGCTTTCAATTAATTTATTTTAGAACAAAGTATTTCCCATTTATGTTTAGGGAATGTTATTACATCATAATTCTCCTTGTTATAATTGACTTATGACCAACGTCTAATTTTTCCATTTACTTATTTTGATAGTGCATTATATATAAAATTGATCCACCACAATGCACTGAAATGAAAAGTAAAGAATGTTGATAATAAATGCGTAGTTTGAACTCTTATCCCTAAAGGATTATATTTTATAATACAATTTGTTGATTGACAATTTGATTGGACAATTCTCTCAACATTAGGGGATGATTTAAGAAGCTTGAAGTAAGGTACAAATGTATTATTATTATTATCTAAATCCTCGTAAAAGATAATTTGAAGCAGAAGTTCGAAAGATGATTTATTTAGATACATTTACTAAACAAAGAGATCAACAATATCTCACGCTAGTTTTAAATGTTCCAACTCGAATTAACTTTCTAAATGACAATTATTTAATATTATATTCGATAAATTTATGGTACACCTGAAGTGTGATGATCTTCAATTCTAATATAAAATCTCCAAACGAAAATAAAGCAATTAGCAAAATGGTCTCGTTAAGGAGGCACATAGCCTTGATGAGTATTTAGACATAACAAATTGTAAAATACAAAAAAAGGTTTAGGTACTTGACATGATGAAAATCGAAATAGTTCTACAAGTTATGTCGTTATACAAAAAATAGAATAAAAAAAAGAAAAAGTTGTTTGCACTTGACAACATTTTTACACATGATGTACTGCATCATATTATTAATAGCGAGAAATCAAAATATATTAATCAAAACATATCTATCGAAAAATAATTGACCAAATAAAATGGACGCAATTCTAAAATTGAATTTACTAGTGAAACATGAAGTTTCTGAATTTGCAGTTCGAAAAATCTAAAGGTGTATCTTGACGTTGCATGAAATTTGAAATATGTTATAGTTAACTCATTTGTCATGACTATTAATGTTATTCCTGAAAGATTTCACAGGCATAAAACATATAATTCAAGTGATATTATTATGAGGGGGAGAAAATATGCGTTGTACTCTTTTTTCCTTAACCAAGGTTTTGACCTATTGGGTTTTTCTGACGAGATTTTTTATGAGACAACTTTTGTGGCATATTCAAAAGAATAAATGTACTGTTTTTCCTTCATTGAAATTTTTTCCACAATGTTTTTCCTAATAAAATTTTAACGAAGCATATTCTTTATATAATGAATGTCCATAACATACAAGATATTTACCCTCAAAATAATACTTTGATATATATGAGATTCCTGAAAAGAGCAACAAAAGCTATTTTTTGAATTATCATGTTACTACAGTTATCAAAAGTTGATAATATCTCGCATGAAGATGGTGTTATGTGAAAACATTGACGTACAAAATAAGAATGAATTGATACAAGAATTGAAATTAGAGGGAGCAACTGTACTCCTCTTTCCTTCGATCAAATTTTGTCCTACTAGATTTTCTTGACAAGGTTTTAATGATGCCGATATTTTGTAATGTGTTATTCAAAATGAGTGTTGTAAATGATAAATTTATTAGTGAATGACAATTATACCCCTATAACCCTAGGAATTATTACCATTATATCATTAATCATTCTCTATTAATATAGGGCTTCAGTTCTCAATAAAACAAACAGAAGTTCATTGACTTCTTTAGATTTCTCTTTTTCTCTCTAGTTTATAACATACATATCTTTCTCTCTCTTTTTTGGATTACTCGGAAATATAAATGGAAAATATAACACTACATATAGAAACATAAAAAAAGTAGGGACACCAGCATTGTGAAAATAATACTTATAATTTTGTATTATCAGAGTTAAAGGGTGTAGTTATTTTAATTTTTGGTAATTAAAATCTAGAAGAAAAAAGTGTAATCTGTTACTTAATACAAGTTAAAAGTAAATTTTAATCACATGAGATTCATAGTTTTTTCAACAACACATTTTATCAACTTTTATCAAAATTTATTAAAAAATTAATTTTAAATCTCCACCCAACAAAGGCGGAGTTTGTGAAAGAGTTTGTAAGGAGGAAAGTAAGTTTTAGTGGCGCAGAAAGAAAGGAGAGGTAATGTCGGAAACCAACCAGCAATTTGTTTGTTTGTACCCTTTTCTCTTTCCCTGTGGGTCTGTGTGGCGTGAATAAAGGAGAAGATGACACAAGTTCCATTACTAAAACTTACTCGTGTATATTCATTCCCCTCCGTTTAAGATGTCACAGTGATAATTGAAGCATCAAAATGGTATTAGTAATCTCACATCTACACACCTATCCTACCCTATGCAGCTAGCTATGTCTTAAACTTAAACTTAAACCCCCCAAACATAACATCTTCTGACTCATTTGAAATATAAATGAGGAAATGGGATCTGTGTATATCTATCTTTAATGTAATTGATTGATTGATTGATGATTGATTATTCATTTGAAAGAAACAATGATATTATAATAAATTGAGGACTGAGCAACTGGGGATAACGTGGTTTTGAATGGTGATTTTATGAAGAATGTGTAATTTAAAAATAAGAATTTTTTATTATTATTTTACGTGTAAATTATTTTATGAGAGATTTTATGGTTAAAAATAGGTTTTGAAAAAATGAATTTTTGAAACAGTGAGGGCCAGCCGTAAGACGTGGGCTTCAGCTCTTCCTAGTCACTCGCTCGGCCATAAACAAATTCAAATTTAATTAGAGAGGAAAATTCAAATTTAATTAGATAGATTTCAAATTCAAATCTAAGTGCACTTAAAACTGGATACGCAAACAGCAACTACGAAGGACGATTTCCTAAAACTAAGTTATCATTCCGAATCTATAGATTCTATTATTATTAGTGCCACTGTGAGATATAGTGGACAAATGTACAAGGAAACTAGTTTTCTCAGTGAACACATTTCAGCTGCTGCTGATAGCAAAGTATTTTGGATCTTCCGGGTAATGGTATTCAACCTTCAACTGCAATACGAGAAAGATACTGGTAAAACAAAACTGCACTTCTTATTCTCTCAAAAGACCAATTCAAAACTTCCATGACCTGGGTTCAGCAAAAAAGAATAAAAAATTCCCTAACAAAGTGAATTTAAGATTTTGGGGACAAGAACATCTCCATGGTTGATGTGAAAACAAATCTAAGGTTATCAAAAAAGGAAAACAGAAAATGACATTAAATGAACTAGTATCTAAAACCTTAAAGAGCGTGGACTACTCTATTCTTTAAACTTTCAACCAAAGATTAGTTTTCACACATTACTCTTATGGGAATGAGAATAATGCATATGAGAACGAACCCCCACCAAACCACAAAGAGCAGGATGTCTTTCCTCTTTCCACTATGGGGTGGAGCGTAAATCGAAGGCATTATTCATCAACTAGATCTCACAAATAACAATGACATTTTTGGTAGGGAGAATAAGATAATATTCAATTGTATTAAGGATGAAAAATAAGCTACAATCTTACTTAATATACTTTTTGGTCATTTCAAATATTGTGTACTAAACATGTACTAAAGGTCCTACAACCCAATTATGGCATAGATTTCAAACACAAGGAAACAGTGAGGAAATGAAACAAAGCAATGGGCAAATGGCAGCAGCAACGAGAACATGGCATAGAGATTATCAAGCGTCCAAACAGAAATTACCAAATGTATTAAGAATTCTCAGGTCACATGCTAGATAAATTTTAGGAGCTATATAAAATCTATATCACATACCTTTCCTTCATCTGCATCTGAGTGACGTTGAGGGAACACAACTTTCAGATCATTGTACAGATAAAATCTACGTTCCCCTGAAATGTCTATTCTGCTTTCGGTTGCTGATAAAGGTTCTGATTTTTGGACCGACCTAGAAGATTTTTTTGGGAATGGACAAACAAATCTTAAGTGAAGAGCATAACGTAAAGCACCAACAGTTGTGGCATTTCTGTTGACCTTTGAACAAGAATGTTCATGTTTTCCATCAGTTTCAACATATATGTCAACCTGATCATTCCAACATAAATTATGCCCACAAACTTGTCTTCCATTGTCTGGCTGGTCAATATGACTTTTCTTGGGGACTAAAGAAACCTTGTCATCGTCTTTTATATCAATACTTAACTGCTCTCCTCTTCCATTTATAGAATTCAATCCTGGGGAAGCAAGTGAGACCGTCTGACGCAAGAACGTCTGGTTCAGAAGGACACACGGCATTATCATTAACACAACTCAGCACTAAAATAGGGAGAAAATAACCATAAATCACAATGGAAGATACAGCTCCAGAACACTAACTGTAAGAAGATTTTTCTTCAGCTTCGCTCAAATCCATCTCTGAGTGCATGATATCATGGACTCTATCATACAAGTAAGAGGATGAGTCCTATATGGTGCATTAACATGCTCTACTGCTACTTAGTATTCTAATTCTTTCTTTAGATCATACCAGTCAACAATATTTTCATTTGATGTAGTTTCTGGAGGAAAAGGTGGAAACTGTAGAAGCTCAAATTACTTCTGATGTATTCAACATGTGATAGACTACAAAGACCTCAGAAGCATCCATGCTATTGATTGCAAAAAAAAAAAAAAAAATAATAATAATAATAATAAAATAAAAAATGACAAAAATACACTGAGCTGATAAACAATCCATGGAAGGAAAAGGAGCTAATAATAATAATAAAATAAAAAATGACAAAAATACACTGAGCTGATAAACAATCCATGGATGGAAAAGGAGCTTGGCTCAGAAAGTGCTTTTACTGATTTAAGATGTGGATACTTTCACAAAAACTAGATAGAGAGGAATTGAACTCATTTCCATGAAAAAATCAATTGGCGCTTGTGCAAATGTTTCATACAGTAGTTTTAAAAAGACTATATGGAAGGCAGAATTGAGTGGCTGACACTCTCAGAGGTCAAAGCATTCACTGGTTGTTCTTGCAAATAAACATTAAAGCATTAATATTGCATTTAGCAATCTATTTTTTTATGGTCTCATAAATTTGTGAGACTATCATAAAGCCAGAAAAAAAACTTCCCATCAACAACTATCCAAAAAGAACGTCATATTAACTTCCTTAGGCACTGATTGGGGATTACACAAACAGAACATTATTAGCATCTATATAACTTCAAGAGCGGAAGATTTTGTTGAGCTCACCTTGGTACCAGCTGGCATGTCGGTTAAGTCGTAGTTACAGAAATAGGTGTGAAGAGGCGTCTTTTCAGGGTTGCTCAGGACCTATAAGATAATTCCAATTTTAGCAGTAATTGACATTTCCTCAATCAAATTAGCTGGTTATTTTAAAATTGACCTATAATCACATAACTGTTTCAACCACAACTATTTATAAATAGCTATGTAGTACTGAATTAGCCTACGTTTTGCTCACGTAAATAAAGTATTTATAAAGATTCAAGCCACTTTTTATCCACACATTTCAAGGAACCCATAAGTTATCCAACCCTCGTTTCTATGTATTTATAGTTTAAACTTTTTATAAATACTTTCCAAACATGCTCTTAGTCCTCATGCCCTTGTTAGCACATCTTGATCAATTGTCACAAAAAAGAAAGAAAAAAGAAAACTCTATACGTGTTGATCATTTGAATTTAAGCCTTGCTAATGGCATGGGTTAATATGAATATACTGTGCCCTATTCATTCTGTTGTCAGATTTTGGAGGATATATCGGACACACTTCTGCATCAGATTATGAACACCCGATGATCAAGTTTTAGGTGACATTCTAGTCAGACCGTTCTTGCGTTTTGGATATGAAGTCTCATTCGAAGCAGATATTAGGTGAGAGGCCATATCATGATTGCTTCTAATCAGGAGTAAACACTAGCGATATGGTAAAAATAGGGGGTGGGGGGATGAATGATACACGAAAAGTGCTATGCTGTACGATTCACACGGTTGCTTGAGAACGTAACAAGTTCTTGAGAACTAGAGTCTCAAATTGAGTGATTTCGCCCATAGGTGAGGTAAGACTTGATCTGCCCCAGATACTACCCACCTTGCAGAATAAAAAAGTTCATAAAAATTGGAGGACTTCCTGAAAGAGAAAAAAAACAAGCTGATAACACGCAGGTCGTCCATGAAACATCGCTGGTACTGAAAGATGAGGACAGTCCATGGCTAGACAACTATGAACTAGAAGAGCGACTAAGTACAGAAAAGTAGCAGTTTAGCTGGTGGGTTTTTAGAAGGAGCCATATAGGTGCAGCAGAAATCACACATCATGATGTATCAAGATCGAATGTAATTTCAAAGACATTCAATAATAAATCAGATAACCCAGATTAATTTAAAAGGAGAACAAAAATATACCAACTGGATGCGTCCTTTCGTAGGAATGTGCAGATGATTCTTGCCAATTTGTGAATCGTCGCTGCCAAGGGATCTCTCTATATTTTCCCCTCTGCACTTGTTTGATTGCAAATTTCCAGAAAGATCTATAGATGCATAGTATAATAGATAGCTATCTCCACTAACACTTGTTACTGCAAATGGAAGTTTCTGTGACTTGGGAGAGAAATTCCCTCCAGCAATGCTTAGTACGGCAAGAAAACCATCTATTGCCTGATAATTCAAACCAAATAGATAATATTAGGAATTGAATCAAAATATGCAGGCTCTCGCAACCTCTAGTGTTATTTCAGCTTGGATAACTTCAACCCTAAAATATTTTGAAAAAACAAAACAAAATCGCAGGAAGGTCACGTAATGAAAAAGAAAACCTGATTGAGATTTCCAGATGACAACCGCCCAGACAGCAGCGACTCCTCAAATGATCCAACCAATGGCCTTCTCACTGGACATCCCCTTAAACTTCTATCCAACTTCATGCAATTGATAGTGGTCCTTGAATTTCTACAGAAAGGCCAACTTATTCCAGTGTTATTTTCTGGCAATGAAAATTGAACATCTTTTTGAAGATAATTAACACCTTCATAAGATGTGCTTGCAATCTGAAATCCATCTTCTTCAGAGGGAAAGATAATGCCAGAGCAGTTTGCCTCGGCAGAATAAGATACATTTCCTAAGATTTTAGTCTCTTTCCGGATATTCCTGCCACGGCCTGCAGATATCGTTCTATTAGAAAATTTTGGACCTAGGGGAGAGCGAGAGAGTGGGAGCGAGATTTGCTCTTCTGATGTTGTCCTGGAGCATGATCTGCCCTCACCTGCTTCTATCAAAGGATTAAACCTAGATGAAGGCACATATGTAAAATGGCGTAGTTCTTTGTCCTCTAATATAGGGCCATCCTTGAAATATATGGAGGCTGATCTACTGTAGTTGTACAACATATCATTCCGTACTGTAGAGTTAGACACAGACCAAATTGGCGCTGTGAAGTGATTTTTACCATCAACATTTTCTGTTTTATTATCTTGCAACAAAGAAATACTACATATTTCATCTTTCGCTTGAGAACAATGATGAAATTTTCTGCAGCCAGTTTCTAAAAAATCTCCCCTAAATTGCTCAGACAGAAGCATCCTATTCAATGGAGACAGCATTCGCTTCCTAACAAGAGATCCATTGATCTCAATATGATTCAATATGACACCGGCAGAATCAGTGTGAACATGATTCGCTGATACTTCATCTAATCCATTAGAGAAGGCATCCTTCTCATATTCGAAACCAACAATCCTAGAAACGGGAGCCTGAATATTCCGTCTACTTTTAGCAGTTGAGTCAACCAGTTCCTTGACGCAAGTATTTGACACGTGAAAATTGGGTTTATCATCCAAATGCTCTTTCTTCATCGCATCATCAGGAAATTTTGAGACCTCCAGTGAGGTTTTCCATCGGAAGTCACCTAAAGAAGAATATATTGAGTCCTGGCGTGTTTGGCTCGAAGCTCCCACATGAATCCCGTCCAAATCACTCATGCTAACACCATCCAATTGAGATGCATTGTAGACATATGTGTTGAGTGAGGTACTGACCTCCTCAGAGTTTTCACTGGATGAAACTTGGGGCAATCCCATCAGTATTTATCAACAGAACTCAATAAGTTCTGTTTAATTGTCTTCCTTCCTGCTGTTGTATACTAAAAAGAGCTCAACTTTATTTAATAATTGACATCCTCGGTCTAACAAAATATTGTCAACCGATATTCCCAATTCTCGATCCAAAATAACTTATCAAAATTCAAATTCAAATAATCAGAATTTCTATTCCGAACAGTAAAGAGTAGCACCCAACTAAAAGAGCTCTCACTTCATTCCATCTTTTTTCAAAAATCATCATCTCAGAATCTCAGTTACCAATTATGCCATTTTAACTACAACTCAAACCCGAGCACATAATCCTGAGAACCAAGTTGCAGTGATTGAAAAGCGTAGTTCATGGCAACAGAATCAAATTGAGTACCTGAAACAGAACAGAAAGTCGGGTAGGAGTTGATTAGGATACTCATAAATCGTTACAGAAAATTGATCACGTCACATTAATTATGTTTGTACTTTGATTACATAAAATTGCACATCTTCTAGAGACAAAATTATAATATTGACTTCCATAAATTGCAATTGCAGCAACTACACTGTTCCAATTTTCATTTAAAATGCAAATATAAAAAGCTAAAATCGTACAGATAGATGCAAAATAAAAAGCAGCCTCATATATACAAATAACAGTCAATTTGAGGATCATTTCTTCACAATCCAACATTTAATGGAAAAGAGAAAAAAAAAAAAAAGCATAAAAATGCAATTATTCAGAATCAACATTGTTCATCAAATCTCCAATCAGTGTCCAAAATGGGAAAAAAAATGGTTTGCCATATAGAGCAGATCAATCGTCACCAGAAAAACAGTTAATTTTACGGCACAGATTCACCATTAAAATATTTCTATGACATAAATAGAAAAGAAAAATTAGAACACCAACATATAATGAACGAAATAAAAATGGTTAAATTCTACGTAATCACATACGCACCGATTTTGATAACTTTTCGGTTACAAAACAATTAGGGGGAATGAGTTTGAATGGCCAACAAGTTTTTGTTTAAATGACTTTGACCAAAATTATTTAAAAGAAAAAAGAATTAATTATTTAAAAATTTCAAATGTCTACTTTACCCTCCCTTTTATAATTAGCCCCCGTTTGGCACCTATTTTTTTTTCTCATTCTCATTTTCATTTTTTTTTTCTCTTTTTTCATTTCAACCACACATTCTATTAATAAAATAATATTACACATAAACTCAAAAATTTTCATTACTTTTTAACCACACATTTTTTCATCAATCACTATTTCGAAATTTATTTTTTGTCAAAAACGGGTGTCAAACAGGGGCTAAAAGCAAAAAGCTATTAAATGATAGGAAGATGTGCAAAGAAGGAAAAATGGAATACCGATTTATAAAAGCACCACGTTCTTCTTAACGTTAGATGAATCAAAGTGGGGAAAATGCATTTCTCGAATATTTACGATGTAAAGTTATAAACAAACTTATAAAAAGTTTTAACGGTCCATATCGCAATGGTTCCTTCGTGCAACAACATGCACGAACACAAACTAGATGTCATTCTCTTACGAGATCCTGTTTATTTATTTCATTATTGTGGTGAGTCTTTGGAGTAATGAAATAAAATATCTTTATTTCGTAATGTTGGTGTTTGTAATACAATTCCATTTATGTTATAATTAATTACGATAGAATTTGGATGTGACCCCAATTCTTTGTTGAAAATAATTGAGAGTTCTAATTAGAGTGCACATCAAAAAGAATTTTATTTGAAATACTATTGTAGAATCCAAATTAGGAGTTGAAATTTATCAAGATCATAAATAATACATCTTTTCGGATAGCTGATATTGGTCGAATCATGATAAAGATGTTTGATAGGACAGTTACAACACTCGATGCAGATAGATCCGTTATAGATTTGAAAAAAAATCTTAGCTCTTTAAGTACTCTTGATTCAAGATGGTACATGTTACTGTTAAAGGCGGAGTCCTAAAGTTAGTAAAGGAGTATGTGTCTTGCTAAAGGGATATAAATTTGTATATCTTGTAATGCTATACAGAATCTTTGAGTAATCAACATATTTTAAGAACTCTTGTGATTTTGGAGTTGAATTTTGTATCATTAGAATCTAATTTGGGGTCTTTTTTTTTTTT